GGGTTCCTCGGTGTACTGTGACCTCTAGGGCCTTACCGAGCCTTTACACCGAAACCGTCGGTCAGCGACAAAAAGCACTCTTGATCGCATGAAAAGGAGCCAGCAATCAGTATGTTCGCTAACACAGTTGAATGGACATGAAAAACAATCTCACTGTTGAAATTTTCAATAATGGTGGAAGAAATCGATCTGACCCTAAGTCAAAGGAGCCGTTCCAAACAGTGAGCTTTGGCTGCCGCCAACGTTCTTTGTCAAACAACACATCGCATACTTATTAACAAGGGCTGCCGGGTCAAGTTCACGACCTGCCGCATCATTTCCTTGACTTATTCCAGAGGTCTTCATCCCCCGAGTGACTGATTATAAAGTGTGTATGTTCTCAGGCCGGAATTCCTTCTCATCAACTCATTTCCCACCTATATTTCAAGCTCGACTCAGATACAACACTTTAAGCTGAAAGCAAATCATTCAAGTGGGCAACATTACCTTCCAACACTCCAAAAACACAACATGACTACTTATACCATCAACCCCAACGGTCTGTTCCCAGACTCATATGTCCTCGGGGGCATGCCTGAGCTCGGCGAGGATACCGACGATACCAAGGTTCAGGTACAAGTCCTTCAGAATAACATGATCTTTTGCGCCTTCCTGTTGAATTTCAAAGGAAGCCAACCTCCACCTGGGATTCCCCGTCAGTTGTTTGTACGGATCCAAAAGTACGAAAAGAATGAATCTCCCCTGGCAACTGCTGCAATCACGAACCTAGCCCGAACCGTCCTTCCTTCGCTGGTTCCGAAGGTCTGGGGTTCTGGATACAGTTGGATGAAAGACGGTACGAAGCTTTCTTATGTCCTTTCTCAATGGTACCCGGATGCCTGTCCACTGGAAACAGTGTGGGATGACTTGGACGTCGAAAATCGAGGAGAAATTGTCGGAGATTTATTCGAGGCAGTGTCCAAGTTGTGCAGCCTCTCCTTGCAGAAGCTGACATTCGAGCAATGGCAATTACTCCGGAACACCCCATTCGAGACAAAGAACACGGAGCTCTCCATCCTAGTCGGCGGTCCGCCTTACGGATATCATACCGACTTTGCTTCCCTAATGCGCCGTAACCTCTGCCCCCGAAACGCCGATTGCGCGGTGAACGGAAGGACTGATGGGACTTTGGTCGTGAGTGTGCATGCGCCCGAAGCGGAACACTTCGGGTTCGCTGAAACAGACTTGGATCTGCTAACTCAAAGCTCAGTCTTGTGCCACAACGACTTGGAGCCCCACAACCTACTTGTTAAGAAGGTCTATACCGAGCGCGGTGATGAGTACAGGCTTGTGGCCATACTCAACTGGGATCAAGCAGGCTTCGTTCCCTTTGCCTTTGAGGTTGCTCGAAAAGATCTACATCTGGGTTTGCGGAACTTCAACTGGAGCTGGTACGATATGTATCGGCAACTTGCTGGTCATCAACTTTTCGACACTCCAGGTCGTCCGATTTGGTCAAAGCTGATCCGGTGCCTGATGGCTGTTCATTCTTCCTCCCAGGCTAAGATTACTGAGATATCTACTTCGGACGGCACGGCGCAGATGTTGTGGCTGGAGAATGAAGGTCTCACGTTCTCTACTCTTGTTGAAGAAGGGTGGGTGAAGCTGCGCTCTTTTGTCGAATTCCCGTCCGATGACGAGCAGGATATTTGGGATCCTTAGGAGCGCCATAGCTCACCTGGCGAGATTGCGAGGCTATTACATGTGCCTTATAAGAACACAACCTCAAAATATAAATGCATTTGATCTTGATTGAAGTGTGAATGCTTTCTTTCTCAACATGTTACCAGAATATAATGTGGAACTAGCAGAACCGCGGAAGTTTGGTCCCAGTGACTGATGTGGCTGCATGAGTGTCGCTATGGTCAGAACGAAAAATCCATCAGAGCATCTAAATAGTCACTAATTCTTCTTGGATGGTTTTACAAGAGGCCTGTGAATCTAAACTTCAACCGAAATTAAGGTATCTGAGTTTCATACTAGAGTCGAGCATATCTGCTCAAGGGGCAGCGGAGAGCCGGGCGGAGGGTCGGAGGGTCGGACCTTAAGTCCAGAGCCGGTCCGGGATTAGCGCTTACATGTACACTTCCCGCATTTACAAAGCTGCGAAAACAACCGAAATGACCCGTGACTTCATCACTACTCCTAAAAGATCAACAACTCATCTGCTAAAATCTGCGAATTTCGTAGTTCTGTTCTAAACTTTCAACTCCAATTCTTTGCAGTCTCCCAGAACGCGAATATGGCATATCCTGCGTTAGCTGCCAGACCTCGTCCTCCGGGTACACCGACGAATGTCTCATCTCAACCTCAACCTAGTGCCAGTCGACGCCGAGATAAACCTCAACTTTCCTGTAATAGTTGTCGACGCCGCAAGTAAGTCTGAATCTTTATTCACCATTTCGGCTGACCCGGGCTTCTAACGCACTGCTCAGGATTCGATGTGATCGTCAACGTCCCTGTAGAACCTGCTCCTGTAGGGGCCAGGATTGTGTCTATCCAGAAACCAACGACACCATCTCACCTCCAAAGGCCACATCTAGTGGCGCTCCCAGTATAAGTCTGCAAGATCGTCTAGTCCACCTCGAGCAATTGGTTACAATGTTGGGGTCATCGGAAAACCGAACGAGTCAGATCGGTACGCCTGCAAACATACCTACGCCAATTGACGATCGCTCAGAGACGGGGAGTATGCGGTCAAGCGCTATGGAACACCAGTATGTCGGCAGTGAACACTGGTCAGCGATCTTGGAGAGTATTGCCGATTTGAAAGACCACTTCGATCGAGAGGAACAATCCAAGCTGGCAGAAAGTCCAACAGCAGATTACTGCTTTGAAGACCCAAGCTCTTTCACCCAACGTCGAAGGTGGCAGCGCCCCTTGCTTTTGTACGGATGCCAACCTGCAGCTTCAAGGTCAGAAATCCTGTCCACCCTGCCGCCAAAAAACGCAGTTGACCGCTATATATCTCGGTATTTCAACCGTCTAGACCTCGTCTCTTCATGTATGTCTTTTCGCGCCTTGTCTTGGCCGATTGCTTGTATTTGAGAGTATCCCTTACTAATGCACAGCAGCGTCCGTCCATGGCCCAACGTTTCTCAAAGAGGTAAGCGTAATTTCTCTACATTTAGCCAGGTCGATTGACTGATAGCGGCATGGGTGATAGTACGAACAATTCTGGCGCGATCCCAACGACACTTCCACAATGTGGATCGGTCTTCTTTTCAGCATGATTTGCTTAGCTGTCATCGCATCAGACCCTTCCACTGACGCATCTGAAGATGGCCACCAACAGCTGCAAATAGAACTGTACCGAGAGAAACTAGTACAATGTCTGCTGATGGGAGAGTATACTCAAGGTGGCGACTATGCGCTAGAGACTTTCATGAATTACGTCTACGTTGAATTCAGGATACATGACGACGCGCAGAGGGATGTTTGGTTCTTGCTTGGCCTCGAAGTCAACCTAGCCAAACGAATGGGGTACCACAGAGATCCCAAACACTTCCCGGAAATCACCCCGCTAAAGGCAGAGATGAGGCGCCGAGTATGGGCAACCGTACTACTGGGAGACATCTTGATCTCAGGTCAGATGGGAATGCCCCGCATGGTACGAGATGGCGAGTTCGACACAGCCGAGCCACGAAATTTAAACGATGAAGACCTGCACGGAGAAATGACAAGTCTACCACCGCCAAGGCCAGAGACAGAGCATACAACAGCCCTGGGGATCATTGCTCGACGGAGACTTCTGATCGCTCTAGGGACCATCTCCGACCTTGCAGCATCCCTCAGCCCAAGTAGTTACGCGGACATAATGCGACTTGACGGGATTCTTGAGCAGGCATACAACAACATCCCTCTACCACTCCGCATGAAGTCTATGGCCTCCAGCGTCACCGACTCCCCCCAAGTAATCATGGCCCGCCTTTTCCTTCGCCACATGTTTTGCGAGGGAAAGATCATGTTGCATCGTCGGTTCCTCTTCGCAAAATCGACTATAGAGCATGATAACGCGTACTCATACTCAAGGACAGCTTGTATTGATGCAGCTCTGGGAATGCTGCAGATCCAACAAACTCTAGACGAAGAAACGTGCCCCGGCGGCCAGCTCTTCATGATGCACTGGAGGGTAGGATCTATCATGAACCACCACTTCTTGACAGCCACCATGGTCCTCTGTTCGCTGGTTTACCAAAGGCAAACTTTGGGCCGAGAGAACGAGATATTGACTGCGCTGAGGACTGCTCGCAGCATCTGGATGAGAAAGGCCGAAGACTCAGTTGAAGCGAAGAAGGCATCACAAGCAGTTAGCATCGTCCTTGCGCGAGCTGGAGGTCCGAGGTTCGATGCTACCCTTGTAGCTGACCGGCCTATCCAACTGCTTTCAGAGCCTATCGCAAATTCGAAAGATGCTTTTCTGGAAGGCTTTGTTGGAGATCAAGTCATGCTTGATGAGCAAATATTTTTGACCGAGGCTTTCATGTCAGATGAAAGGGATAACGGTGAGTACGAACTTGGAACACAAATAAAGGTTGAACATTAGAATGGCTGATGGTTTTCACATGCAGGCATGGATCTCTTCTCGCCTTTCAATCGCCTTCCCGACGACCTATCAACGGGTACGCTCTGCAGCAAACAATCTGGAGGCCCAGCAAGTCATGGGGACTCAACTATAAGTGAATGGGTGATTATGGGTGATCAAGGACAGTATCAGTGAAGTATTATCAATTTTGCATCAAATCTTGGTTCACAGTAAAGTCAATGGTCAAACGTGCAATTTCAGATGCGGAACTGTAGCTATAGAAGCCGAGGTTTCTCTTTGATATGATAATTGGGATCAGACCGTTTGCGATCTCTCCATCATTCTTCTGTTTGCCATTCATCCCCATTCTGACTACCCCGGTGTCCTTAGAGATATCTGGACATCTCAGTGTCTTTGTTTCGAGGAGTCGTCTGCTTCACATAACAGTGCAGAAGGCACACAGCGCTCCAGGGTAGCATCCATCGGCAGGCCTGATACTCTGTCAAATTCGTCTGCTATAGATATCTAATGATTCTAAATACTTACCAGACACCACAGCAAAAGCCATCATGGTCGATGCAGCCTCCACGCAGATGCATTTGCTCTTGAGTTAGGTCGGATTGCTGTTCTGCCGGAGCGCCAGGGGAAGAGGCAGGTTGAGTATCCTGCGGACCAGGTTCTTGTTCGTTCTCGCCCGCCATTGAGCATGCAGGTATTGATTGTGATGGAATGTGCGTAGAAATATCTTGTAACCCAAGGTAGGTATTTGTGTTATTGAGACTTTCCGCAATTGAGAGACAGACGAGAGGGCAATCTTACGGGAAGGTAAGCCCTTTGAGGCTTTATTGACGTGACGTTCCGAATTGAGGTTTTTGGTGAATAAGGAGTGACTGCTGACGTGAATGATGACAAGCATCAGCAGACTGTGAATACATTCACTGTCTAGACGGGAGGAAAGGGACAACATATTCCCGGTGATGCAGACGTTTTGGAAGGATGTTTTGGAAGGCCTGCCTCCAGAGGCAGTAACAATACTTTCTGTGGTACTTTCCCTTACTTAAAAAGATTGATCAACTCCTTCCTCTTCTGTTCTCATACCTTGGTCACATGGTGTTCTCGTTAAGGCCAAGTTCAGAGGAGGAAGGAAGCAACGCCCATAAGTTTTAGGCAGGAAGGTTCGGTCAAGTCATTGAAGAATGGAAGGCACAAGGGGTTTCAGTCAATATAGGCAGGGCCTCACAGTAGGTATGGATGCAAGGAGTACCAGAGGTCTTGTCATGAGAGAAAAAGAAAATAAGACAATCTCAAGCTCAAAGAAAGATGATCGTGGTTTCTCAGCACAATCCAACTCACGAGATGAAGCGTGATATACCTAGGCGCCTGAATATGTAGAAGGTGACAAGTCATGGCCTCCGGCTAGAATGTAACTCAATGTTTCATGGTGAAATTTTGTCACGCCTTAGGTATGAAGACTTAGGCAACATATCGATTAGATCTTGCCGCGTTTTATTGAATTTAAGTCATTTGTCAAGAACAATTGATGGGTAGGCATACTTCACAGCAAACTTGGCTCACTGGTCGGGAATAGCGGGGCGGGGGCTGTGTTCCAGATCGCGAATCCTTCGATGGTCAGCTGACAGGCGCGTCAGCGCCGCACCGATCAAGCGAGAGGCACCCGACGGTGTAACAAGTTACGGAATCTTTGATGGTTGCCTACAGTATAACTGATGTACTTAGGATATATCTAGCAGTCAACATTTCCTATCGACCTTACCCCTATCTAAGCGCGCCCAAGCTAGCTATTCCTGCTAGCAACGCCAGCCATCGAGATATCAACATAAACCACCTTGCTCAGACTCAAGCATGTCAACTGCAACAGATCAGCAAAATCTGCCACAGGAAGGTGCACGCTACCCGACCAAGTATCGCCGCAACATTCCTAGGTCAAAGAATGGCTGCTTGACATGCCGCGCTAAACGGAAGAAGTGTGACGAACGCAGACCATGTTGCACGTCCTGTGGCCGCACCGGACGGGAATGCACATGGCCTGTCTCTGCAGAAGATATCGTCAATAAGAGTACCAGAGACATCCTTCCAAAACAAACACCGTCAACAAATGAAACCTCGGAGAGCAATGGATCTTCCCAGCCGCATACGACGCTACCTAGTCGACCTAGAGCAGCCGTTCTGACGACGGCATCTATCCCGGAAGTACTTGAGAACACATCATCTCTGCGCGCATCTCTCACATTTGGGACTCTTTCAAACTTAAGCAGCAGTTCGAGGCCGCTGTATGATCAATACCTCGATATGACCGCGGAGCTACTAGCTCGTGGTCCTAGCGCAGATGGTAACCCGTTTATCAACTATGTGTTGCCTCTAGCAGCTTCCGATAGTCTTGTGATGGACTGCGTTCTCGCTATCGGAGGAGCACATATGGCCGTTCTAGAGCCTAATCGCCCGCAGTTGGAAGTCATGACTCGAAGGCATTATGCCCGGCTGCTTGAAGGACTACGAAAAGCGCTCTGTGACGATGCGGCGTGTCCATTTGGCGAACGCGATGAGGACAAGAAGCTCTACACGCTTCTGATTCTCATCATGCTATGCATTTTCGAAGTAAGTCATTTGTCTCTTTCTCTTGTCAGCATGTTGCATCCGACTAACCTTGTGCAGGGGGTTCAAGGCGATAACTCGGGGGCCGTCTATCATCATATTCGAGCTAGCCGTCATTACGTGATGGAATTGGCAGCTGACACCTACAAGCCATCAGCTTCAAAGAAGACTGAGCATATCCGTGGCTTTCTCCTGGAGATATATGCCATGTTCGCTCTAAAGTTAGCAGTCACGCCACGAGGCTTGCAGGAGGAGAACCCCGTGACAGTGGATCCCTTCCTCGGCTCTCTAGAATTTCTGGGCCAATTCAAGTCGCGAGGATTCATGCTAGGTTTTGGCCATAGGCTCTTTGCCATGATACCAGATATCTCAAATCTTCTTGAGAAGCGTAGGAGAGAGGAACTGAGTGGATCCACATCCGATGGTCTGTTCGAATCTTACGAGTCACTTCTGAAGAAGCTAGACTCATTGGATCCCTCATCCGACGTTCTTGAAGACGAAGACGCATGCCCTCGCTACCAACAATCAACAGCCGTCGCCATCTACCGCACCGCCTTAATTCTCATCGTCCATTCTGCCTTCCACCAAGATATACATAAGAACGCGGAACTCCTTGCTGAGATCGAATCTCGGATAGACAAGATATTGCCTCTCTGTTGGGCCGTTTATACCAGCAAGTCACCACTGCGGAGGATGATGCTGTGGCCGGGGTCGATTTTGGCATCCTGTTGTAAGAAGCCAGAGCACGTCGAAGCTTTTCGATTGGGACTAAACTCGAATCCGCGATCGCCAGGTGGTGTCCGAGAAGCGGCCAAAGCGGTTGAACTGTTGTGGCAAGATGATGATCCGAGAGCTTATGGACCTCGAGGGTTGAACATGGTGATGAAGAAACACGGTCTTAGCTTTAGCATGTGCTGAACGGACTGATTAGTAATCTGGGTAAATGGGATTCTTCTGGTTAGTAAGTTCACATGTTCTGTAAATATAGAGAGCTGCATTCAGGTACGCAAGTTCTCCGGCCTCCAACGCATACCTAAGTAGGAGGCTTACAGATCAGTCGTCCATAAGTGCATGAGTTCGTCTGAAGAAGTCTATAAGCATTATTCATAATCATTGTCTGCTAACGAAGAACAGGTATCGCAAGTCATAAAGGTATCGACGAAAGGCATCCCATCCACCACCCGTACTCCAAGTTTAGCATCCACCACCTCCACCGCCGCCCCCATCACCACCGCCTCCACCTCCGCCACCTCCACCACCTCCATCGCAACCGCCCCCTCCCCCATGGTGACCGCCTCCCCCATGGTGTCCACCTCCTCCGTGGTGTCCTCCACCGCCGCTATCACCGCCCCAGCCGAAGCCCCCAGCACTCACTCCCGTGTAGCCCGCGTTATAATCTCTGTGATTTCCGTGCATGCGGCTTCTGCGCCAGCCACCGCTGGAATCATTGACGTAGCCCGGCATGGCACCGTAATTTGGTGTACCGCCCATGGCTGGTCTTGGTGCGTACTCGGAGCCGTTATACGTGTGCTTCTTTGATCGAAATGGGATACACATCTTGAGCGTCAGGAATCCAGGTACCGAGAATCGTATGGAATTTGTTTGTAGTAGGTTGACCTTGAACAGTCCTTTTTGAAGAGGACTGTTGTATCTGAGGGTTTGGTATGAGCGCTTATTTTGTGTTCCCTTTGAGGTGGATGGAACGGTATGTCTATGAGATGAGATTGATATTGATGACGATGCAGATGTAGATTCACAGAAGATGGAAGGGACTGATGGCTTAAGTAGAATATCGAGTCATGGTAGAGAAAGTGAGGCTAAGTTTCCTGCCTATCCTACCTGTGTGCCTGCTAGGGGCGAAAGAACAAGCTTCGATGGAAGCCACGATCACCGGGAAGTCTGCCTTCCAGAAGGCTTCTAGCGGCGCGAAGGATCATGGATTATCCAGGATGAGCTCATAAAACTCCGAATAAGCGAATCGCAGGGTCCTAAAAGCTGTCACCTAAATCAGCCTTGCAATGAGCGACTTTCTGCCGCCCTGGGGACTTACGCAAAGGGGTAAGACGATGTACACTGATTTCAATCATCTGACCGGAGGGAGTGGATTCACGGGGCTGTTCCGCGTTGTGGGGCTCTTGCGGATTCCTGGAGGCAGGGAGCGGGGACGAGCTAGCCGGAGCGGGGCCGGATCGGCGTCGTTGGCGAATGACGTAGCTCTACTGGCATAGCCGGGCACCGGGGCGCAGCGCACACAGCCTATGCATTCAGCCCGCGATGATCAGCCGCACTCTCGGACCAACTGCGTCATGCTTGGATCTGTCAAGCGATCAGTAGGGCCACGTGAGGGTGAGATGACTTGTCTTGCTGTAAGACTCACAGCTTCCCGCGGCCCGCTTTGCAGGCTGCAGGATTGAAGATATCACTGGAGGCTGGCTTATCATACACCGACGCTGAGATGGATGAGTGGTTTTGTTCAATTTGTTCTTGTAGAGATAAGCGTTGCTAATAAAATGGCTTGAATATTGGACGGCCTCTCACTCTGCTGCTTCTACTGACTTTCTTGCTCGCGACATGATCTACCCAACAGCCACTAGATAGGAACACCGTCCCGGTCCCTCTCTATCCTTGAGTTTTTAGGCGTATTTGAATCGGACGAGAACTTGTCTTTGATTGACTGGACAATGCTCTCTGTGCGAGAGGGACCCTCAACTTCGCGTCGCTGCTCTTTCTCGGCTTTGCGCTCAGCCTTTTTTGCTGCTTTGAAATCGGCGGGACCGGGCTCAAACGCGGGGCCGGTGCCTTTGGGTGGAGGCCGTCTGTTGGATGCTTCAATGCCAGCGGTGAGAGGAATGCCGGACATTTTAAGAGTGAAGCTTTTAGTCGGCGCGGTTGAAGTTTGGAAAATGCTGTTGTGCTTTCCGGTTGTGAAAACTTCGACTCCAGACTGGACTATGAAGCGTGATGCTGTTATGAAGAAGATTCTTTTGCCCCGATGAATCGGTATCGAAGAGTTGTCGAAATGACAAAGTTTGTCGCCCGAAAAGGGATTATAAGATGGGGGCCTAGGTCAATTTGTGCAAAACCATTGAGAGACTCCGCGGCTGCTCTCCTGACTGGAGTTTGGTGCTACGGTCTCACCGCCATGCGCAGCCAAGAACATCTACGTATCTGTATGACGCGAGTAGAGTCCCCTTGTACCAACTGGTGCATCACCTTGATCTATGTCTCAAATACTTGTTAGAATAGCCCTACATCAAAGGCTACCACCATTGGTCATGAATCTCAATCAAAATATGTTGTCTTGACACCCTTGATGACTTCTAGATCATTGACCGAATTGTCACCATTGGACTGACTCGTGGCACCGATGTTCTTGATTATCCTCTCCCTCACCCACTCTCCTGCCTTCACAGGCTTCCCGTCACTTCCAAGTATCGCGCCCTCAGAGAGGCCAAGCTTCTGTAGAACGGGAGACTCCTTAATCGGGACCAGGTCCGTATCATCTTCTATGCGAACCATGTAAATAACCCCCAGACGATCGATATGTGCTTGGTCTTTAGGAGGCGCTACGACTCTGTGGATGCTTGACTTGAGGTACCCGTCTATGGCGGTGTCAATGACCACAGCGTTTAGAAGGCATCGAAAACAGGTCAACTTACTTGTGAGGAATTGCAGCGCATCAGCAATGTTCACTGTCAGCGCGTCCGTCTGCGGCCGCACCCACTTCCAGGTCCCGTTGTTCGTGAGGACCTGGAGCGCAGCGACAGGTTGCCGAAAGAGCAATGTCAGACTGCCCATATCTGAGTGTCTTCAATCTCTTTGTTAGTATTGGGCACATGCCATTGGGGCGGACAGAAACCATTTCTGCCAGGAGACATTCTTACCCCTTCAGCCAAACACCACCCAGCTTTCGATTCTCCTCCTCGGTTCTCGCGTAATACTTCATGTATCGGAGATGGTCGCCGCTAGACTTCTCGTAACGATGCTTCTTGACGAACCACTCCTCGTCCTCAAGACCAAGTGCCAGCGCAAATATGACGAGAAGCTTCCGGATAATCTCGTCGTTGACGTATCGGGAGAACTGCTCGATTGACGCGAAGTTCTCTGTGACTACATCGGGGTGCGGTCGTGACGCATGCTCCGAGATGAACTTTGGGATGTTGTAAATCTCGAAGTTGTCCCGGACGCCTGGGATCAGCTCTCTGGTGCCTGGAGGCTTCCAACCATTGAAATCGCCGGCCTCAAGTGCTGCTCTGTATGGTGCCTTGTCTTCATCCGACAGACTGAGAACGGACGAGGCCAGAGCATACTGCTGATTGATGGCTTTCCGGCTGAGACCATGGTTAATGACGTAAAAGAAGCCTTAAAAGTTGGATATCAGCTTTGACTGTCTAATGACTTTGATGATGAAACAGTAATGCATGCGTTGTGATCGTACCTATTTGTTCAATCGCTCTCGTGAATTCTTCTGCAAGCTCCTCTTTACCCCCGGGCTTATCAAATTTGGATAGGTCCAAGGCCACAAGATCTGCCCAATCTAGCTGCTCGCTTGTCTCGGTAGCTTGAATGTAAGGTACATGGACTGGAGCTGTCTTTGAGGTCGTGATTGTCATCTTGAAGGGAGGACGAGGGAACTTGTAGTTACCTAGGGGCTCGCTACGCCGAGACTGGCAGGTCTCTTGCTTCTTATCTTAATAGCGCGTGAGGCTCAATGAACAGTGATACATGTAGCCCTTCTGCAGCAGACACCCCTCCTCTATTCCAATTTCGTGAACTGAGGATGGTTTTGTTGCAACGTCTTTGCGCTGCAAGGGTTTAGCCAAAGTATTGGTAATCCCATCGTCAAGTCTAGATTTCACCGAATGAGAATCTCGATCCTTTGAAAACAGAGGAAAGCCGATGTCGGGATATTACTATCGGACCACAGATACCGAGGCTTTCGGTTACATGTCCATAGATGTGCCGTCTGATCTTGAAGCTGGTCCCTGGCAGAGGATGCATCGCTGTGGGGCCGAAGTATTCGTCAGGAAGGATCCAGATGAGGCAATCTGTCAATACTGTGTCGAGGCATTCTTGGGAATGGCGTGGACAGGCCAAGATTTTGGAGTCGCAAGGATTAGTCTGTTAGTCTTGACTGTTGTTTCTGCACGCGTTGACTGCCTCTACTCAGAAAACTCTCATCAAGGGTGGCCTCAAACAACCGAATGCCTCCAAACTATTGACACCGACGTCCTTCCCACAAGAATCGGCAATCATCAAAATGACAAACGATACCACTAGGGATAGCCGCCATACGGCTCTTGACGATGGATCATTCACAGTATCAGGAGCATATGACAAATATGCACCTAGTCAGGCAGTCAAACTGGAGATAATTGGCGAGGAAGCTCTTGCCATTGATCTTGTCATTGAGAAAAGGGTGCTCCAGAAAATCGATCTCTTCTTGATGCCAGCCATGGTCATAGGTAATTGCAGCAAAGTACCCAAAACTCTCAGTAACAGGTCGGGCGCGATGCTGACATGAAACGATGCGATCGAGGCTATGGTTTGGTTTACTATGATAAGGTTGGCACTTAAGAAGGCTCCTTTAACATTTGAACAAGACTCACAGCTGCGTATAGGCAATTCTTGGCAGTGCTGCGTTATTCGGAATGACTGGTGACCTGCATCTTTCAGTTGTCGACACCTCTTTCACCCCGCCAAAGACCGACACAACACGACTAAGTTGGGCAACTTCGATATTCTACTTTGGCCAGCTGATAGGTTCGTATCCAATGACGTATCTACTTCAACGCTTCAATACCAGATGGACACTTGGCCCCGTGGTCATGATTTGGGCAGTCATTTGTGCTGCGACAGCGGGAGTGACGACTTGGCAAGGTCTCCTGGTTCAAAGATTCTTCTTGGGTGAGGAGCCATCATCCCACGAGTTATTAGATAGCGATGGAGTTTGAGTAGAGACTGAAGTGACGCTCATCATGTGATATAGGTTTCACCGAGTCTGTCATTCCAACAGCTTTCATGACTACCGTCAGCGGCTATTACACCCAAAGAGAACAAGCACTCCGCCAGAGTTGGTGGTTTTCCGGAACTGGCTGGTTCACCATCATTGGAAGCGCTCTCAACTACGGATTCGCCCAAATACAAGGAGGCGCGTTGACTCCATGGCAGTACATCTATGTACTTGCTGGAGGCTTAACGTTCCTATTTGGTATTTGGTGTTTCTTCCTACCCAACTCTCCCCTGACCGCCTGGTTTCTCACTCCGGAAGAGCGAGCTGTCGCAATTGAGAGATTGCGTCAGGGACAAACTGGAGTTAAGAATCAAACCATCAAGACTGCTCAGATCAAGGAAGCACTACTGGACGCCAAGGTCTGGCTAGTCGCCTTGATCATGGCCTCGGGGTAAGAGGAGTCCAAAATTTCCCCTCGAATGCGCAAACTAACTGGCTATCAGGTATACAGTCAACGGAGCTGTATCTTGGTTCGGTCCCCTCATCGTTTCGACGTTCGGATACTCGGCTTTAGACAGCATTCTTTTTCAATTCCCGCTAGGTGCAATTTGCGCCATCGGTATCCCCGTCGCTGGATGGCTCTGCTCTAAATACCGCAATATCCGGATCCCAGTACTGATAGGATGCACTCTCCCAGTCATTGCGGGCTTTGTTATTATATGGAAGTCAGACTGGGGCCATCGTCCCATTGCCCCTGTTGTCGGATACTCACTTATTGGCTTCTTTGGGCCGGTCGTCAGCTTGACGGTCACCCTTGGGGCCAGCAATGTTGCAGGAGAAACCAAGAAAAGCTTCATGGCTTCTGCCGTATTTGTCGCATATTGCGTTGGAAACATAGTTGGGCCTCAGCTTGTGAAGAGCGAGACTAAACCCCAACATTATCCTCAGCTATGGACGGGGTTGATCATTTGGTATGTCAAAAGCCGACCTAGGCAACATCTTTTCAACTCCTCTAACACCAGTTTCCTAGCTACTGCATCACTATTCTGTCTTCTTTGGGCCTCTATGTTATCCTCTATAGAGAAAACAGGAGACGGGATGCTCTCGGCCTAGACGAAAGTGAGCGGGATAGACTCGCATTCAAGGACTTGACCGATAAGGAAAATGAGCACTTTAGATACGTTCTGTAGGAACTACATCCCGCCATTTGCATATTCAAATATGACCTCCCAAGTATTTGTGGTTCCAATTGTCGAGGACTCTATTCCATCCCGTTCACTGCCGTCGTTGAGTGTACCTGTTTTGGAATGCCAAGTCTGATCAGTATAATTTTGGCTGTAGATCAATAATCACACATTACCTTAGTATGAGCCCCTCTTTCGCGATAGGAACGGCTCCGTTGCATGTTCTTGTCCTGTGTGGACGAAACGAGTGACAACACGCGCATCCAGTCTACTTAGCGCAGGGACAAGTCCCGCGTTGCGTTTTCTTCAAGGGTTGTGATGCAATCTCGAAGGACTCCACCCTGACCAGTTATGTTGGTAAGCTACGCATGTTGATCGAGAGAGCTTATCACGACATCTCGGACTGTGTCCGACATAAGCTGATGCCGCAGCCGATATCGCCAAAGGACACTCGGGAATTAGCTCACTGTTCGATGAGACAGTTTGAATGGAACGAGACCGGCGTGGGATTGTTTCTTGCAAGCACCGCTGCGTATTGACAACGATTGCTCTCAACTAAGGTTAGCCTTCGTGAATCTTCAATTCAGCTTCTAGAAGTCCCGACGATTCAGGATGCCTGAGGAAATTCGGAGGGTCGCAGTCATTGGCGCCGGCCCGGCTGGAGCCATCGCAACGGACGCTTTGGTGAAGGAACAGGCGTTTGATGTTGTACGCGTCTTCGAACGGCGCGACTTGGCTGGAGGGACATGGTGAGTATATCCCTGAGGGCTAATATCCTCATATCAGTTGTGAACTGAATGAGATCTGACCTGTGTGTCTATACATGTAGGGTCTACACTCCGGAACTGCCACCCCGGATCCCTTCCTTGCGCGCATTAGTCAAACAACGCGCAAATGCGCCGATTGAAATCCCTCAAAGCTTCCCTACAGAAACTCCGAGATCCGAAAAGAACAACTCTCACCAGTTACGGTATTCGGACACTGGTATTCATGAGACGCTGCACAGTAATATCACTCCCGAAATCATGGCGTTTACGCAGGAGCCGATACCTCAGGTCCTATCCGACCGAACATTGGCACAATACGGCCCGGGCGCTCCATTCAGACATCGAGAATTGATAAGAGAATGGGTCGAGGGGATTTTCACTCGAGGAGGGCACGATAAGTTGATTGAGTTCAGCACCACGGTTGAACTTGCAGAAAAAAGGGGTGACGAATGGGTCCTCACGTTGCGAAAGGTTGTACCCGGAAAGTCGAAGGACTACTGGTGGCAAGAAACTTTTGATGCAGTGGTTGTGGCATCAGGTCACTTTTACTTGCCTTATATCCCCGAAATCCCCGGTCTTGTCGAATTCAACGAGAAATTTGCAGGCAGAATCAAGCATAGCAAGCATTTCCGTGACCCGGAAGAGTTCCGAGGAAAAGTATGCCGGCATTCGTGCGTTTGATATATTGAGATCTGAGCTGACTATTCACAGAAAGTTATTGTTGTCGGCGGCTCCGTGTCTGCGTTTGATGCGCTCCACGATATTCGGCTGGTGTCTCAAAAGCCAGTCATTGCATCACTTAGAGAACCCCTGGCCGCATTCGGGTGGGCGCCCTTTACGCACCCCGATATCACGATCAAGCCGCAGATCAATAGTTTCTGTCCAAAAAGTGGGCGCATCACGTTCAGCGATGGAAGTACCGTGGATGAAGTTGACACTGTCGTCTTTGCAACCGGTTATGACTTCAGCTTCCCATTCTTGCCCAAGCAGAAGGTGGAGAATAGACGAGTGCCGGGACTTTACCAGCATGTCTTCAATATCGACGACCCAACCCTTGCATTTGTTGGGATGGTACGTCTTGATTTCAGTAGAACTTCGTGCCTGGAGCTCATGTACTGACTCTATCGTGCAGGTCACGGGCGGCTTTACTTTCCGCGTCTTTGAGTGGCAAGCCGTTGCAGCGGCACGAGTCTTCGCGAGCCGCGGGAAATTGCCCCCTCGAATTGAGCAAGAAAAGTGGGAGAAGGAGAGGTTGGAGTACAAGGGTGATGGCATTCCCTTCTTCACTCTGTCGCCCGACTTCGAACAATACTTTGAAGCATTGCGGGCAATTGCCGGCGAGCCTGTGCAAGGAACTAAAGGCAGATTGCTGCCAAAGTTCGACCCTAAATGGCTTGAAGCGTTTTCTGAAGTTATCAACGCCAGGGTTGAGTGGTGGAAGAAGGAGACAAAGAAGGCAGAAGCGCAATCAAAGCTTGAGTTCAAGTCGAAGCTGTAGGGCAAAAAATGTGGTATTATTAACTAATTAGGCTGTTTCAATCTTGTCGTGTTTTGAAAGCGTCCATGCTAAGGTCAAACATGCGAGAAAGATTCCTTAATCGATGCTGGGTGCGGTGATCCACGTGCCCATTGAGATACCCTCTCACACTGTCTTCCGAGGCGTCAACCTCACGTTCAGAGGACCCTTCTTCCACAAACCAAACAGCTGC